TGATTTGAAAATTTGATCAATTGGTTATTTGATCTTTTGAGATTTAGGCTAAAGTAAGGCGACTAAAAGTGCTGTGTGTTGTTTCAACGTCATTTCTAGTTTTAAAATAACACTTTTTGCCAAAACTAAACTTTTTTTCAATAGACTTTTCCTTTTGTCGAATTCTCGTTTAACTAGAATTTTATTTATCCAACAAAAGTATTATAGTGAAATTTTCAAAATTAATCAACCACAAATTCAGTTATTATATCTGTCTAATAGAATCGAACATTCTATATTAAAATGTAAATTTAAAATTAAAAAAAAAATGTAACAATTGAGTGCAAGCGCGTGGACCTGATGAAGTGGGACACAGTGGAGAAAGAAAAGAAAGCAGAGAAAATGTCATGATGTTGAGAGTACAAAAAGGGGTTGGAGTAGTTTATTTAGTTGAATGCCGTGTGTAATTGGTTATAACATTTACCGTTTTGCTCATGTACTCTCTTTCTCATTTTCCCCCCTTATATTCCTTGAGTACGATCATGTCCTGTGGACAGTGAATCCCCTTTTGCCTTTCGTGGTTCCACTATATATTTCCACGGCTTCCTGCGAATCATCCAACGATATGACTACCGCACCTAACCACCTATACAAGAAGGCTCACTCGGGAATGAGATGCAGATTGCCAGAGGCCACTTCACCCGCTAGAGGGAGTGAATTTTTAATAACACCGCCATACCAACGCGGCGGAGATCCCATTGTCTTGCCAACGTCTCCACGCAAGGAACGTAAAACGAACGTTACGCGTATACCGCATAACAGCCTAACCATTATTATTATTATTATTATAACGTAGCGCGCTTCTCAAGTAAAAGTGTAGTAATAGTAGTATATATAGTGACCGCGAATATTTTGTCGTCAGTAGAATAGTCTTTTATCCTCCAATTCTTGACAAATATCAGGTTCATATATAATAATTCAATGTTTTATATACTAAACATAATTCGATTTGAGTGGTAATGGATATACTAAGGTTTTCGGGGTCGCTGAATCCGAATTTGAGGTCAAATTTAAACAATTCAAAATGGCGGACCCAATATGGCGTCCACAAAATTTAAAAGTTAACTAAATTTGCATAAAAATGGTTCCTTTAGGGTTTTTGGGGTCGCTAAATCCAAATTTGAGGTCAGATTTAAAAATCCAAAATGGCGGACCCAATATGTCGGAAAAATTTTAAATTGATTCGATTCATTCAAAATTTGATTTTTGGGGTCACTGAATCCAAATTTGACCCAACAAACCCCCAAGTACCGAATTTTGAACGAATCGAATCAATTTTAAATCCTACCGCCATATTGGGTCTGCCATTTTAAATTTTTTTAATCTGACCTTAAATTTGGATTCAGCGACCCCAAAAACTTTTAATACGATGATATGATATTTTTTTGGAAACTTTTTTTTTACCGTTTCGGGCCCACAAACGATTTTTCTACTAGACTGCGAAGGGGTTAACTGAACTATTATATGGCAGATTTTCTAATAAATTGAATTTTCCAATAATAGGTACAGCTTTCATTTAACAGAATTTATGTTTGCAAAATTTTCATAGAAAATATTTTTTATTTGACAGAATTGTTCTTTCATCGAATTTTTTATTATTTGAATACAAAAATTTGAATAATATAATTTATAAAAAATCACTTGACATTATTTTCATTAACTGAATTCATATTTAAAATAATTTCTATTTAACAGAAATTCTACTCAGCTGCATTTTTAACCCATTAACGCCCAAAAACTGAAAATTCTTTGTACACATTCAGGCTACGTTATTTTAAATAAAATGGGTCAACATTTTCTACGAGAGGTACATTTCCTATAGGTCTTGAGTGTGCTCTTTCCGATTCCGGTATCAAAAATTAATTTCGTCTAAGCCGAAATTAAATATGGCGGTTTAAATGTCAAAAAACACAAAAAAAGTTTCATTTTTTTCAGTTTGACATTTTTTTCAATCGGAAAAAATGTAAGAATAAAATTAAATTGTCAACCATAGGTGCATAAAAGTTGTGTACTTTCGAGAAACGTAAAGTAGAATAAAAAATTTCAAGATGGCGGACTAAATATGGCGTCAAATTCATTGTAAAATGTGAAAATTTTGTGCAATATTGGTCAAATTGACAAAATGTAACTGGATTTGCCTGAATTTTGTTACTCGGGGGTTCTTGGGGTCGCTGATTAAGAATCTGAAGTCGGTTTTCAAAAATTCAAAATGGCGGATCCAATATGGCTGATGAAAATTTTAAAAATGCATTCATTTGGTCTGAATTTTCATACTCGGGGGTTTTCCGGGTTGCTGATTACGAATTTGAACTTCATTTTTAAAAATTAAAAATGGCGGATCCAATATGGCTGATGAAAATTTTAAAAATGCATTCATTTGGTCTGAATTTTCATACTCGGGGGTTTTCCGGGTTGCTGATTACGAATTTGAACTTCATTTTTAAAAATTAAAAATGGCGGATCCAATATGGCGGATAAAAATTTTAAAAATTATTTATTTGGTCTAAATTTTCATACTCGGGGGTTTTCCGGGTTGCTGATTACGAATTCGAACTTCATTTTTAAAAATTAAAAATGGCGGATCCAATATGGCGGATTTTGAAAAAATCCATCGTATTTACATGAAATCAGTTTCTCGGGGCCTTTTGGGGTTGCTGATTAAGAATCTCAAGTCGGGTTTGTAAAATACAAAATGGCGGATCCATAACCACTATCTCCATAAAATCCAATATTTGAGCATGCGCACAGAAAAAGTTGATGAATTCGTCGAAAAAGTTTAAAAATTTACTAACTTCGTGCCCATCCAGAAGATAATATCTAGTTCATGAAAGTTTTACTAACTATTTCTTTCTGTGTGTATGTCACTAGAAATATTCAGATATTTGAATAAATAAATTTTTAATTCAGTATTAATGATTAAATCTAAAATAAACAAATTATATTTAAAAAAATAAAAAAAAATAACATTCTTAATTTTGTCTACCTCCACGTGGTAAGAATTGGTAAACGCCTAAATGGGCGGCTAAAAAAAAACTGAAAACCCCTTCAGGCTATTTGAACGGATTTTTACATTTTTCATATTGGATCCGACATATTGTATTTTTGAAAACCGACTTCAGATTATTAATCAGCGACCCCAAAAAACCCCGAGTAACTGATTTCATGTAAATACGATGAATTGTTTTTTTTGAGTCCGCCATATTGGATCCGCCATTTATAAATTTTAAAAATGAAGTTCAAATTCGTAATCAGCAACTTCGAAAACCTTCGAGTATGAAAATTCAGACCAAATGAATGCATTTTTAAAATTTTCATCCGCCATATTGGATCCGCCATTTTTAATTTTTAAAAATGAAGTTTAAATTCGTAATCAGCAACCCGGAAAACCCCCGAGTATGAAAATTCAGACCAAATGAATGCATTTTTAAAATTTTTCATCAGCCATATTGGATCCGCCATTTTGAATTTTTGAAAACCGACTTCAGATTCTTAATCAGCGACCCCAAAAACCCCCGAGTAACAAAATTCAGGCAAATCCAGTTACATTTTGTCAATTTGACCAATATTGCACAAAATTTTCACATTTTACAATGAATTTGACGCCATATTTGGTCCGCCATCTTGAAATTTTTTATTCTACTTTACGTTTCTCGAAAGTACACAACTTTTGTGCACCTATGGTAGACAATTTAATTTTATTCTTACATTTTTTCCGATTGAAAAAAAATGTCAAACTGAAAAAAATGAAACTTTTTTTGTGTTTTTTGACATTTAAACCGCCATATTTAATTTCGGCTTAGACGAAATTAATTTTTGATACCGGAATCGGAAAGAGCACACTCAAGACCTATAGGAAATGTACCTCTCGTAGAAAATGTTGACCGATTTATTTAAAATAACGTAGCCTGAATGTGTACAAAGAATTTTCAGTTTTTGGGCGTTAATTGGGTTAAATGAAAGAATCACAATTTTCTTGCTTATTTCTGATTGATCAATTTTTAAAATTGCACCTTAATCTTTTGTTTGTTCGGACATTTGTAATTTCGGTCAAATGAAAATTGGCCATTTTAATTCTATCAAATAACAATTCGTGTCTATGAAAATTTGGATAAATGAGGACTTGGTGAATAAAAAATTCTAACATTTAAAAATTCGAATCACATAAAATTCTGTTGAATGAGAATTCTGTGAAATAAAAATTCGGTACCTTAAAATATTCTATTATGTAAAAATTCATAAAAAAAATTCAGTCGAAAGCTGATTTGAAAAATGATAATTAGTCTAAAAGAAAATTCTATAATGAATTGTCAAAAAGTAATTTTACATTTATATTGATATTTTCGAAAACGATTTGAATTACTATATTGACTTTTTGGAAAGTACTTTGTATTTCACGGCAATTTCGTCCAAGGATGATAAATTGATAAGGAAACTTCTTGGGTCAAGCTGGAAAGAGGGCTCAATCAGGGTTTGCGGCAACCTTGTCACATGGGGATACTGAAAATACCATGGTCCTATGGTTACGGATGTTTTTTTTTTGTTATTTGTGTCCTGACGCGGTGAAAGGGACCTTATGGTTTAATTGCAAATTGTACTTTAAATGTTCATAATAAAAAATGAATTGAACAAAATAATTTCTAATTTTTGGAAATCAAATTATTTGAGTTGCTCTTTCATTTCCAAAAACTAGAAATTATTTTGTTCAATTCGTTTTTTATTATGAACATTCAAAAGTACAATTTGCTATTATACCATAAGGTCCCTTTCACCGCGTCAGGACACATTTGTTGAAATCTCTAATATTGCTTCTAACTTTTTAATAAGAATTTTATTGAAACTATATTATTTAGAAACTAATTGAGCATACCAACAATTAAAATTAGAATAATTTGGAAAATTACCTACATCAATAAAACTACATACAATATTTTTCCTAACGACACAATTTTCCATTAATGCAGCTGATTTACAACGAGGAAAAAAATCCTAAACATCATTTACAAAAAATTATCTTGGACAATCATAGAAGAACATTAGAGAAAAATGAATTGAAGTGGATGGAGTTGAACTTGATGAAAAATCACTCAGAGAAGTAATTAATTTTCTTTCCTTTTTTTTTGAACTTTTTGTACTGAAAAATATATATAATCGAATTATATCTCTCAAGCAATATTGAGAAAGCACAAAATTTAATTAAATAAAGTTGTGCTTTATATAAAAGTTCAACTCTAGAATGTTATTTTCGATAAACCTGATTTTTCAGTTATTACGATTTAAAAAGTAAAAGCAAGCAACAATCAATTCTTGATCATGCTTTTACTGATAACAAGAGTGTATAGAGTTCTACGAAGCGAATGTTCCGTTTTAGATTTATCTTAACATTTTCTGAACAATATATACTTTTTTTCACAAATATACAGGTCAATCGATAAACCAATTAACGGAAAATTGAAAATATCGAGGAATTTTGTTGGGAATCGTGATTTTAAATTGTTTAACGATATAGTTAACAAAGATATTTCATATTTAAAATCAGGTTTGTAACACCGCAATTTCTTTTTATTTCAAAGAAAAAAAAAAAAAAATTGGTAATATAGAATTTTATATTATTTAATTAAAACCAGAAAGAATGTCTAATTTTATATTGTAAAAAAGTATTTAAAATAATGGTACTAAAAATGTACAACTAGGCTATTCAAAAAATAGACAACATAAAAGAAGTAAAATCGATAGTGGAGTAAAAGACCTAGATGACTCTTTAATCCGACACGAATCGAGTCAAATAATGGGTACTGTTTCATCGGAAAAATCAGAGACAATGAAAGGAGCAAATGTGGATGAGTTTCCACTGTCTTTAGAAACGTCGAAACAGACTCGACTGGAATTGAGCAAAAGTTTCATTGAGAGTAACAAAGGCACAAATAGAAATGTCAATGTAACGAACATTTCTGGGGCTAAAGAATATGAAAGCAAGTTTGAGAAAGATACTCACAGAAAAGAAGGTCACACGAAAAGTGAACATGAAAGGAAGATGTCATCGAGGGATTCAAAAAATTCCAATACTCTGAATGAAACCAACAATGGAACAGAGGATAAAAGTATAATATTACGAGAATAAACTATTATTATTTTTATTACAAAAATTGTATTTTTTATATAAATTATTCTCATTATCAATTCATAAATAATAAATCAAAAAAGAAAATTGAATTTCAGAATTTTATCATAAACAATTGGATTCTCATGATTCTCAACAACAAAGTAAAAGAAATATAGGAAAAAGAAAATTATTATGTATAGAGGAAAGCTATATCAACCGAAAAAATTCAATAACGTTAGGCAAAGCAAAAGATTCTGTTTGTCATAAAATGGAATGTAAAAACACTGACGTTGAATCTATTGCATCAGAAAGGTGCTACCAAATCAAAGAAAATATAAAAGATAGTGAAGATGTTACAAAAAATGATGATATAAGAATACAGCATCATATGAAAAGCAGAAAGTTACTTCAGAAGAAAAATATGGTAAAATGTCGTTGTAAAGAATTTAATGCAAATGACAATATTTACGAGGATGAAGAATATGAGAAATTGTCAAAAAAAAGAAATCAAAATTTTCATGAAAATTATAATTATGATCGAGAATTGGAAGTAACAACTGAAAATTATGATTCTTACGATGATGATTATATGTTAAGTAATTCAAAAATCTCAAAAAAAGAAAATAAAAATCGAGAAAATGACAACGCTGCTCAAGATTATGATTATTATTATAATCAAAAAGAAGAAATTCAAAATCCAGGTAAATCATGTATTTAATTTAAGAAAAAAAAAAAAAACTTCTTAACGATCAAACATATAAAAAAAATATCAGATTAATTAAAACTTTTTATCGTAGAAAACAAAGATACGAGAAGAAGACGCGAAGAAATTCAATACTTTGATTATGACGGTGATTCAAAAGTTTCAGAAGAGTTATATCATAAATCTAAATCACAGATGAGAAAAAAAGGTTTTTTTTTTCAAAAAACTGTGTCAATAGCAAACTAATAATTTAATTAATATAAAAATATTTATTAATAATATATTAATTAGTAATAATTCTATAAATGAGAGTATAATTTTTTATTTTTCAGATACAAACCAAAAAGAATTAAACAATGACAATTACCCGATTAAAAAGAATAAACAAAAAATGGAAGATACAAAACAAGATGAGGAAGTAAAGAATATGAAAAACAAAATTCCAAGTGAAGAATTTATTGGTAATTTAAATATTCCAGATATTTTGGTTAATGAGACATTGAACGAAACTGTAAAAGGAAATTCTCTAAAAACAAATGATTTGACAATTAATGATTCAATGAATCGTAATAAAAGGTACGAGAAGGAAAATAATGCAAACTTTCGTAATTACGAAAAATCAAATGTGGACAGATCATGGTAAGAAAAGTTGACATATACAAAAACAAACAAATAAATTTAATATTGCATCTAATTTATATAAAGGATATTTGATAAGTAAATACAAATTTTTATTCCCTTCCGTATGGAGTGAAAATTTAAGAAAGAAAATGAATTTATTGACGCAGTACAGAACATCGAACAGGTCAGATAACATGTCTGAAAGACAAAATAATAATTTAAATGAATTCAACGAAGATAATGAGGATTCGACAAAAATCATATCCTCCGAACCAATGGAGTATAATTTTAAGATTCAGGGAAAGTTTAAAGCCGGAGATATAAGTGACTTTTTAAGTAACGATCTGCCATTAGAAGATAACCTGTTTGCTCATCGGGATAAAGATTTGCTGAGTTCGCAAAACAATAAGAAAGATTATAAACCGCAAAAGTAGGCATATTGAATTCGCACTTGAAATTATTAATTGTCTGTGAAAATCTTGATTAAAAAGTATATTCTTATTTTTTGTTGCATTTTTCATTTATTTCAACGCGCATCGAATGAGTTTTGAATTTTCAGATTTAAAGAAAATCTAAAGATAACGATGAATCATAAAAATAATAGAAATGAATTCATTGGTGAAACTTTAAAAAATAATAATTGCAATTTCAAAGAGAGAAGAAAATATTTTGCTAAAGAAAATCAACGAAAGAATGAACGGAAATTTTCAGAACCAGAAATGTATATTAACATTTAATCAATTATTTTAACAATAATATTAATTAATCAATAATTTAATATTTTTTATCAGTATGGAAATAGTAATAAAAAATCCAAGGAAAAAGCAAAGAAACAAAATTTCTGATGACAACAATTATAATATTAAACGTGTTGATGATATTCTTCCGGAAACAAAAGGTACCAAAAGCTTAGCTTTAATTCATAATGATAAGAAACAATTGGTATTAATTGTTAATTCTTTAATTGACAATTAATAAAAAAAAATTAATATACGCCTTCAGATAAAAAATTATTATCATAAAAATAAAAATAATAACTTACCAAATTCTTCGTAACAGGCAGACAAAATCAAAAAAGTTCCACACACCTGAAATAGAAAGAAATAAATAAATTATATATAATAATAAAATATAAATAATTTAAATAACAATTTTCGAAAATAGAATATAAATATATGATGAAATTATCAATGATTTCGAGTCATAAAATTTAATATATAAAATGGTTTTAATTTTTTTAGTTAAAATATAATTTTTCTTATTCAAAAGTGATAATTTAATAATAATGACGTTAGAATAATGCATTTTCAGGAAGTAATTATTCGGCTCTTAAAATCACGGATGATATGTTTAAAGGGGGCATCGAACAAAGCAACATGACAGAGGAAAAACCATTAAACAGGATAGATCCTTCACAGAAAATTGCTGAGTGGAAAGTTATTAAAGTACGCAGGACTTCATACTTAGAAATTCTAACTGATTAGCGGAAAATCGCATTAATTTTAAAACTAAAATCAAAGTTATAAGACTATGAACATTGAAAAGATCAAGAACAATTCTTAAAGCCGGGACAAAATTTCTCAAAAAAAAAAAAGCAAACTTAGTCCGAGGTCTTTCAATTTCTATATGAAACTTGATGAAAAATAATACCTACTACAAATGAAAAGTATTTGGGAAAAAAAGATTTTTCAAAATCAAATGCTACTGACAATGAGCAATTTAAAGGGAATAAATAACATACATTTTTTTCACTTTCAGCTTTAGCTACTATTTTTTCATTAAGTTTCAAGAAATTTAAGTAAACGAAGAAAAATTTTGATTATTTTTAAGAAAATTTTTCCAAATCGTATAAATTACTTATCATATCTAAATTTCTTATCAATTTTATCTAAAAATATTTTATTTAAATATAGCTATATAAAATTTTAATTTCTTTAAATATTATATTTTATAATATAGCGAAAAAAGGATAAAAAATCACCGAAAAAACATATCTACAAAAAAAATAAAGAAAAACGATCAATTATCAATTCGGAAAATTTAATACACGAATCATATGTGGAATCTTTGGATTGGATGAATGATTTTGATAATGATAGAAAAATAAGATTGGGAAGAGGGCTGAAAAATTGGAAAAATAAAGGAATAATGGAAAAATTTAATTTCAATAAAATGAAAATTTATCCACTTAAACGATATTTTAAACCATAAATCACTGACTACTATCAGTTTCAAAATTTGAGTAATTCCTACAATTTACAATTAATTCCGAGAGATTCTTTGATCTCTTTTGTAAAAAATACTTCCCATCAAAGAACAAATTCAACAAATACTTTCGTTAAAAAAAGTGAAATTTATAACTCAATAAAAAATTTCAAAAATTTAACAATCAACAAAAATAACATAAAGAGAAATAATTCTAAGAATTATGATATTATTGAATCTAAATTAAAAAGTAATTTTAGAAAGAGAATGAAGAGAAATATTTTGAGAAATATGAAAAAAGATAATTACAAAATTTACTCGAATAGTAAAAAAAGAATTGACAATAGATATAATGAAATTTGTTTAAATAATAATTGTAAAATTAATAACAATGAAGGAACGAAAATCTCTAATTTCAATTACATGAAAAAAGATTTAAATTACAATAAACAAAATATTCTCAAGGTATGAATCCACCGTTTTTTCTAATATATTATATAAAATAGATTTGTCCATACTTATATTTTTATGTATCAATTAATAATAATATTCATTACATATCGATTTTCCAGTTTTATTTTCCTTATTTTTAATTAAAATTGATTTTTCCATATTATTTAAAATAGAAAAAAAAATTTTTTTAAGTAAATATTAAGATACAAGTAAAGATTCCCATTTTTAAAAATCTTAAATAATAATAATAATTTTAAAGGAAAATTCTAATATAAAATTAAGTATCCAAATCCTAGACTAACTCTTGCTTGATTATTATAATAAAAAAATAATATATTTGCGAAGATTATATTAAATTACTTCGTTTAATAAAAAGAATTTTAAAAAAATATAATGAAAACTGTTTTAAATTAATTAAATTTTTTGAAAAATTAAGAAAATTTTAATTAACTTTGGGTGTAACATATACTTTATATATACAAATCGATTCATTTCAATGCAAGAAATACAATTATTTTATTCATTAACTTGAATTTTAAAAAAACACAAAATTTTTTAGCTAAAATATGAATTTTCGATTTTTCAATTTTTATTAATTCTCAAATTTTAAATCAAATCTATACTTTCAATATATCTATCTATTCATCTTGATGTAAGGAAGACGATTATATTATATATTACCTTAAATTTTTCGATTTAAACATTTTTTCAATTAAAAAAAATTTTTGGAAAAAAGACGATAAAATTTTTTTTGGGGGTATTTTTAAAAATCCTCTCGTCATTTTTGAGAGATTACTGTGTTAAATAAGCCTACCAAATTTTATTCAAATTCATTAAAACCTGTTAAAGATATCGTGTTCACAAAAACGATCCACACACACACACACATACATACATCCGGACACTTGATCAGGTTCTCATATAACATGTTTCTATATAGAGGAAAATTTGTTTTCACCATTTTTAAAAATTTTATAAACGAAAGGACTACAAAGCTTCCTTCACGAGAAAGCAAAATGAACATAACATGTTGGTAACTATACTAAAATGTTAATTTTTCTTTTTAAATTTACATTATTTTCAATAAATAAATAAATTATTATTTATTCTTGACATTAAATTAATTAATAATACCAATTATTTATTTTAATAACATATTTAATGAACAATGCTCATTATATTATTTTTTTTGCGTAACTAAAGAATCAACCATTAAAATTCCTTGCAAATAAAACAAAATTTTATGAAATTGAAACTACAAATCTTAAACAACAATTCAAAGAAAATTGGTCTACATTAAAAAAATCGCAAGGAATCATAAAATACAGTAAAAATTTTACAAACATAAAAAACAAAATACTTTTCTGAAATTATGAACGTTATTCTGATGTGAAAATTTTTTTGTCACAATCAGAAAGTAAATAATTAAACATTAAAATTATAATAGTATTTTTAATAATAAAAATAATATATTATTACTTATATAATAGTATAAATATTTTATAATATTTACATTTTAATTAATTATAATCACCTAAAGTACAATTTATCAATAAATTGTAATATAAATTAAATATCGAATTTCGACAATTTTCAATTAATAAATAAATTATTTAAAAATAAATGCAATCATGAAATATTTTTTTAATAAAATTTTTAGTCTACTATTACTTACTGAAATTCTCATTTGTCATTAAATTTAAATAATTGTATTTTAAAATAAAAATTTTATCTATTTTTGAAAACGTTCATAATTTAAAAAAAAACATGAAATAAAATTACAAGATAAATATTAAACAATAAAAAAAAAGTGGATCTGTAACGATTAAGAACAATTTATTTTTAGAAATGAGACGAGAAATGATGAATCTCAAAAAACGAAATATTTTAAATCCACACAGAAAGCTCAATCATCAACAAAAGTATGAGAAACACAAAAATTATAGGAAACGCAAAAAGCATATAAAAAGCAGAGGCAAGTATCTAAATCGTAGAAAGCATAGGCATAATAATAATAATTTAGCCGATAGTGCCTCTCAAGAATATCGGAATTTAAAACATGAAAAGCAGCAATCTCGAAGAAAACGAGCAAATACGAACGATCTAGATTTACATTCATATAATTCTTGTTATGAGTACTGTACGGATATCTCGAAAGTTAACAAATATCGATATTCCACTCAAAAATATAGAACGAATTCTAAGGATAGTTCTACTAAAAAGACAGAAAATATGAAAATTCACAGAAAAAGTATTGCATTCAATTTATGCATTATTTGAAATAAAAAATTATATATTTTCTTTTTCTTCTCTATTTTCACAATAGACAGATATTAATTCTTAAATAATATAATTATTATCTATATAGATAAAAAAGATGTAATTTCACTGAAAATTAGAAAACTCGATAACATAGTAGAAACATTCATGAAAAAACGAAAACAAAAAAGATAAGATGAAAATGATAGTTAGATTCAGAAAAAATATCATCAAAAAAGATACTAAAATTTTTATCAATAAAAACTTTACGATTAAATTGCAAAAAAGGGAAGATTTTTGTCTAAAACAGACAAATCAAATGAATTATGAAAATTCAAATCAAATAACAAGAAAAAAATCTGACACTATCGAAACACTGACAATAAAATTTAATAGTACCGATTATAAAAATAAAACAAATTGATTTATCGACGATAAAGTTGGAAAGTTAGAAGCAAAAAGAAATGTATATCCGGATACTATAGAAATAATGTAAAAAAAATTTAATACTACACAACAATGAACTTTCTAAATTTCGTGTCTCGTTGTTCTTCAAATACACTGAAAAAAAATTTATTTTATTCAAATAATGGGTTACTTGGCTATTATCAAATAAATATTTACTTGAATCAAATCAATTTTTTTCAGTGTAATGAAAAACAAATCGAAAAAAAAATTAAAAAAAAAAGAATATTTAAATATTTTCAAACCTATTAAACAAAAAAAATTAATTTTGTACTAATTATTAACAATTTTTTTTAATTATTGAGAAATTTGTAAATTTTCAAATAATAAAAAATAAATATACAATATATAAAAAATATCATATTATTTTTTTAACCGTTCAAAATTAAACTTGATTACTTTATATGATAATTCTAATCAATATTTTAAATTTGCTATTATTCCAAATGGTTTTGTTTCTCATATATGCACATTAACGATTTATATAGTCAAAATCTATTAAAGATTCATGAGAAGTTAATTTCGCGGTTAACACGTGTAAATGAATCTTTGATGGATTTCTCCACACATAAATTGCACAAACGCTTCCCCTCTACATGGTAAACTATCTTGCTTCCGTCTATAAAGCCTTTGGCGTCACTATACGTAATATCAGATCAAATATTGCCCGGTTTAACGTTGACAAGGTTAAAAGCAAACAAAATTGAAAGGAAAACAAAATTTGACATTCAAAAAAAAGAAAAAAAAAGGAAGTTTGAAATAATATGATTACAATAAGAAAATCAATCGTCCTACCACTTTTAGCAGTAATGCTAATTGTATTTTTACAAACAATACAAGGAATTCCTCATAATTCAGAAATAAGGATTACGTACGAAGGTTCATCATCTAATAGTAGTATGTATAATATTAAAATGAAAAGAAATTTATCTAAAATTTTTATTTATTTAAAAAAACAGTAATAAAAACTTTTTGTTGATAAAATATCATCATATTGCAAATATTTTAAACTATATAGAAATAATTCTTAAATATTGTATATTCTGTAGAAATAGGAAAGTTTCAAATAAAAATTTAAATAAAATTTACTAAATAATTAAAAAGTAAAATATTTAATTTGTCCGACTTTTCATTTATCCAAAATTTAATATTTTTGAAAGATACAGAATTTTGGACAAATGAAATGTTTGAAAAATAAAAATTCAAATGAATACAAATTCGGACAAATAAAAATTCAAAAATCTTAATTCAGACAAAAGAAATTTTGAACAAATGGAAAATAATTTCTTAATAAAAAAGTACGAGGAAATTATTATACGAACCAAATAATTTTACAGAATGTTTCAATTATAAAAAAAAAAAAATCAAAGAAAATAAAGTATATGATTTACATTTTACAAGTATGAAAATAGTAAAAAAAAATTCAATTACAGGTGAATCAAGTGAGTCAAGTGAATCAAGTGACTCAGATGAATCAGATGAATCAATTGAATCAAAAAATCAAGATGGTAGTGATGATGAATTATCCTCGGAATTATCCGAAAGAATCTTTAGTGGGTAAGTATAAACAACTAATTGTAAAAATTTCAAAAAAAAATTGAGTTTTAAATAAGTACACTAAGAAAAATCTTTTGACAACAAAACATTTAATTAATATTTGTACAACCAACTTTTATTGCTTGAACCAATAAAATGTTTGTCTCGCAACGATATTCAAAGCAATCTGACTAAAATTTTATTAATTAAATTAATATTTAATATATTTTACATTTTTTCAACAATTTTTAACCTTCAGAAAACTGAAAATTTGTTTATCAATTTTACATTTTATAATGTAAATTTTTTTGTAATTATTAAATTTTGTAAACAAAGGCGCCGTCTAATGATTAATGAAACAACACAAATTATGTTAAGTAATAAAACTTTTATTGAGGGGACGCATGAATAAGCTCTAAAACAAATTTGTTAGAAGTTACATTTAATAGAATTTTAATCAGCAGAATATTAATTTGCCAGAAAGTCAATTTAATCGAATTTTAATTTGACAGAAATTCAATTTGGTCGAATTTTAATTTGCCAGAAATTAAATTTCACCGAATTTAAATTTTCCCGAAACGTTGTTTTATAGAATACTAATAGTACAGAAAAACAAATTGACAGAAATCTACTTTACCAGAATGTATATTTGTTCGAATATTAATTTCCCAGAAAGTTAATTTGACCGAAAATTAATTTGGCAGAATTCCAATTTGATCGAATTTTAATTTACCAGAAAGTCAATTTCATCGAATTTTAATTTGCCAGAAAATCAATTTAATCGAAATTTATATTGTGCGAAACGCTTTCTCATAGAATTTTAATTTAGCAGAAAGGTAATTTAATAGAATCCTAATATGTATAGCAGAATCAAAATTTGACAGAAATTTACCTTACCAGAAAGTATATTTGTTTGAACATTAATTTGCCAGAAACTCAATTTCACCGAAAATCAATTTGACCAAAATATTTCAGCGCTAATTTTAAAATTAACCAATCAGAATTTTCTTCATAATTTCCTATAGCTTAATTTTAAAATTAGCGCCGAAATATTTCGGTCAAATTGATTTTCGGTGAAATTGAGTTTAATGTTCGTACAAATATACTTACTGGTAAGGTAAACTGTCAAATTTTGATTCTGCTATATTAAGATTCTATTAAATTACCTTTCTGCTAAATTAAAATTCTATGAGAGAACGTTTCGCACAATATAAATTTCGATTAAATTGATTTTCTGCCAAATTAAAATTCGATAAAATTGACTTTCTGGCAAATTAAAATTCGACCAAATTGAATTTCTGTCAAATTAAAATTCGATCAAATTGATTTTCTACCAAATTAAAATTCGATTAAATTGACTTTCTAGCAAATTAATATTCTGCTGATTAAAATTTTATCAAATGTAACTTCTAACAAATTTGTTTAAGAGCTTATTCATGCGTCCCTTATTGAGCCAACCAAATAAGTTCGATTGTTCAAAAATATCATCCAAATGTTTTTATTTATTTTTTGTCAAAAAATACCCAATCTCAAAAATTTAGATATTAAGAAAAAATTTTTCAATCTAGTGGTCGAGATGAAACATTGGCAAGAGTAGAACCTGATGACGTTATGTATTATTCATAAGAATATGACAAATTTCAATATTTTCTCTAAATATAAAATATAACAGGTGAGAAAAATATGAATATGAATAAAAAAAAAATAAAAGTAATATCGTAAAATAAATGAGAAATATAGATCATAATAATTAAAACAATAATACTAATATCAATCAATATCTTTTGAATTTCATTAAATTCATATAATAAAGTGTGATCAATAATAATCATAATGAATAATCATTTTTTAATTGTTAATTATTTGCAGAAAATTGCATTTCAACTTGATTTTGAGACAAAAACAAAATGTAACGAAAACGCATGAAGTTATAAAGAAATTCTGTAGTTATATATGTATTAAAAAATTTGTGCAATAAATATATTAACACTAACTTTCTTATTGTATTATTATAATATTACTAATTACATATATACCGAATTAAAATTGTTTCTCATACCGAAAAAAGGAGAATATTCCGTTCAAAACTTAATTTTAAATTGTATTTTCAATTTATACCTAAATATTTACCAAAAAAGATAAGATTTTTTTTATTTGAAAACATTTTGATTAAAAGAGAACTTTTTATCATTCATAATTGATTGAAATTCTTCTTTTGGATTTAAAATTTTTTTCTAAAATTGAAATTATTCCTCTCTATGAAACAATTTTTTTTATGGAAAAAATATAGTTTAACTGTTTTTTTTTTGTTTTTCACGAAAACCTTTAACCTTTATATAAAATGACGTTTGAAAAAATATGATAAAAGAGGAAAAATTCTCTCAATATTAGACAGGAATACTTTAGTGCGGAAAAGTTGCTGCAAAAGTAGAGGAATCCTCTTTTAATGAGAACATTTCTTTTCAGTGCAAATATGTACATTAACTATTTATATAGTCAAAATCTGTTAAAGATTCATATGAAAAGTTAATTTCGCGATTAACACGTAAAATTTAATGTTTGATGGTTTTCTCCAAACGTAAATTACACAAACGCTTCCTCACTACATGACTGTATATAGCTTACCTAGCTATACCATCAAAAAGCCTTTGGCGTCACTATATGTTAATTTAATGAATTTTAATAGAAATCAGTTTGAAGTTAGAAAAATGCGTTTTTATTATTTTTTTTCACTAATCAGAAATCACAGTACCTTTTTTCTTGAAAATAGGTGAAATATTATTTATTAAAAATAAATGAAAAAAATATGATAAAAACCTTATATATTTATAACTAATTAACGTGCAAAATAATTAATTTGTATTTTTTCTTTGTATTAATTTAAATTTTTCATCAAAGATTGAAGCATTCCTTATTTTGAAATTTGGGTAAATTGAAATTTGGATAATTTGAAACTTAAATCAATTAATCTTAAAAATAGATTGAAATTTCGTTAATTATATAAGTTTCAATCTATTGAATTTGCATTTGATAAAAATTGTAATTAATAAATTTGTTCTCACCAATAAAAATTAGAATGGATTGAAAGTTGAATCGTTTGAAATTTATATTAAGGTCTAGATTGAATTGTAATTTGGATCGATTAAAAATTGAATCAAATAAAATTTAATAAAATTAAAATTTCGATGAATTAAAGTTAAAACAGATTCAAATTTAAAATTAAACAATGACATGTTTTTAAACAAGGACCCCAATTTTAAAAAACACATGGGCAATTTGTACTCAGTGTGTAGTTTAAGGGTTAAATATGTATTCAAAGTTTTTAAGTAAACAAAAACCAAAAAAAAAAACAATTACCTATACTTAAAATAAACATTTTTTTCTTTTAAGACATATATAGTTAATTGTTCCTGAGATGTATAACCACAAATATATTATCAACGCCCCGGTGTGTGCACTATCATCAATAGATTCTTTTAATTAAAACGAACATAAAAGAGATGGAGACCTCATTTGTCGAGGGGCAATCTATTTTTGTTCAGTTTGTTCCATTTTATTCTCTACACCTTTTAACATCTCTATGTGTATTGTGTATGTGTGTATTTGGCAGAAACTTTCTTTTTGAGAGTGAATCGCCAAAGTTTCCTCGTAAACGCGAAAGAGATATATATATATATACGTGTGGTAGCTTTATATTTATGAAATAGACGAACACTGAGCATTGGTATATACATATACTTTCCCAAAACCAATTAAAATCTCAAAATCAGACGCTTGCTTATGCAGGCAGAAGGGAAGAAGATATTCTGTTGTTCAAGTTAGGAGAAGAGGAAGAAAATGTTATTACTTATTCGCGGTACACACCAAGCAGAATTATTTAGATATTCCGGTGAGCATCTGGGTTCGGTTTTGACGCCGTTTTGCCTGCACTTTCCTGCCTATCCTTTCGGTCTACATTAATATCACGAGTTTCTTGTATATAGTCGGGAAAAGGCCGCCATCGAGGAAGAAAGTCGAGGGTAGGTTATGATATTTTTACATAACATTATGGTTACGTGAAGAACGAAACCGTGCGGGGTTTGGTGCCCAGTTGAAGGTTTGGGTCACTAATGGAGGTTAAAACGGTATATGTATATAAGATGTACAACCGTACATTTTTCAACATCAATATCGACAAAACACTACTGACATTGGTGCGGATGTTCTCTAGATATACACGGAGAAACCCGTAGAAGTAATTTTTTTAGAATGTAACACTATTTTGCTTTACAAAGTCCGTAAATAATAATAATAATAATATAAAAAAGACAAGGTTGTCTTTTATAATTAGATAGCTCCTATTCTAGTTTTTCCTTCCCATGATTTTTCTACACAAAATATTAAAAATTACTATACTTTAAAATAGAAAAATTCTTATTAAAATAAATAAAATTTAATAAAAGTCACATTATTTCCGAACTTTGTACTAGTTTTAAGTAATTTTTGCAAATGTCGATCTCTCCTTGTATATTTAGACATTCGATACAATTGATTCTTGATCAAGTCACGTTAAACCAACTGGAATTTAATCTCTCGAATCGGTATTTTGCTCAATGGTTTCCGATTCTCCAATATATGTTCAAGTACAATTTGAATTTAACCCAAACATTCCTAATTTATAAAACCAATAGCCTAATTTGTAGAATATCCTTCTAAAAATACTCGTCACATCGATTTCTTTTTTAAAATTGTCAATGAATAATAATGCACTATAATATTCGTTCCATTATTTTAAAACAGAGAATATTTTTATATAAATACAAGAGTGTACTTTAAAGGGCTTCCCACTATGCCTTTTGTGTTTATACCACAGCAATAGATGATGCATTGTCCTACTGGAAACAAAAGATAAAGAATGGAAGAATATTAAAATATCTTTCTCCACAGTCATTTTCTACGGTCTAATGTTTCACTACTTTGCTTTTTTATATTGATTAACATTCCACACAATAACTAAACATATAAGATTGCTTCGAAAGCAACAATATGGAAATTTTAATTAATTCTGTCTTTAATGAAGTTTAAATTAAAAAAAAAAAAGAGTGTAAATCCAGGAGGAATTCAAGAGTCAGGTAAATGGAATGAAAAAAAAAGAATGCGTAAAGAAGAATGGTAGACGTATTTTGTAGGAAACGTGGTCCACCGCGGTATGACAGAGAAAGAGAGAGAAAAAAGAGTAGAGCACGCGCACGAATGACAGATTATATTTCCGCGTATCATGATCGCAGCCAGGATAGTTTCCTATATATAACGTATAGGATATACAGCCCTGGCTGGCATCGACATGTCGATAGCAGGCCTCGCCGTGCGATACATCTACCGATATATACCCTCCCCCCGCGCCCCACCCACACACTCTATTCGGGAGAGCTACCCTCAGTTCACCCTTCGACCGACCGCTAAATGGTCAGCAGCCACCCCACAGTGCTCAATTATTGATACTTATACCGACCACCCACCCTCTCATTTTCCACTGCATGTCTCTGCATCTCGAAGCACCGCGCCACGTCGATCGCAATATATATATATATAAAAACCAACAGTCGTAATCGTTCCATTTTTCAACCTCTCTGAGACTTTAAGGAGAAAGTAAAATCACCCTCCTCATTATACTCTTAACAGAAAATAATAATAATAAACCCAGCACGGCAGAATGATTTTCTTAATACTGAAATAACGATTTTATTTATAATCAAATATAAATTGCATAAGTTTTATGAAAATTTAAAGTTTTTATTATATTATTATTCAACATTAAATTAATTAAAAATTATTTTTTCGATTTTGGAAGATAGACTCAAATTTTGTAGCATAATATCCCCACTGTGGGGACTGTTGTGGTACAATTTTTTTTTTTTTATTCATAAAATAAAGTTAAAATTTTTTCTTCGAATTGAACTGTATGTATGAACTTTTTACCACATATTCTGTAAATAAAATATTTTTTAAATTAACATGAAAACCATGTAAAATTAATAATGTTCAAATATCTGTCACAAATATAAATCATTTATGTTTAAAATCGAAACACAGGAGTTTTTTTTTACTTATTAGAAAATAAATTTTTGTATAATAATTATTTTTAAGTAGTACTGATTGTACCAGAATATCCTCTGCAAATGCTAGATTTTTAGTTTTAAAAACTTCTCTCCTAATATAGGGGAGACCGGGGTTACTTGGCGCACTTTTTTCTCTTTGTTGTGTAACTCACTCATTTTTGCTTTTTTTAAAAAGTTAAGGTATAGAAAACTTGTTGTAACATATCAGCTTTAAATTAAAAAAAAAGAAAGTTGAAATATATTTAATACTTTTATTTTTATGCCACTTTATTTGAAGCTGTGCAAAGCGCGCCAAGCAACCCCGACCCGGGGTTGCGTAGCGCAGGAGTGAAATTAAAATTAAATTATATGATTTAAAGTTTAAATAATATAAGACTTAACAAAATAAGTCTTGTACTGTAATTTTACAATAAAATTATTTTAAATTTAAAAATTAGAAAATTTCATTTAAATTAAATGAATTTTGATTTAAATGAAATCGTAAAATTACCAAAAAATATTTTTTTTTGATAATAACGCTGTGAATATTTAAAAACCATTATTCGGTTAAATTTTTTGAATAGGATTGTTATTGGTGCTTATTAATGTGTAAATTTCATATAATCAACTTCATTTTATTAATATTTAACGAAATTTTCAGATACCCCGCCACCTAACCCCGAATGTACTTTTGAAATATTTATTAATTTTTTATAAAAACTGTTAATATAAATCAAATGTATAGAGCTCAAAACTTAATATTTGAGCTCTTCTAAAATTAATTTTTTAAAGAGATATCACAAAAAATTGAAGAGGTTAAAAAATTACTTTGGAGTGCCAAAATCAGTTATTTTAATCTATACTCCACAATAATTAATTAATATTAATGAAATTTTCTACAAACTTACAGTTCATC